TGCTGGGGATGGGCTGCACCTTGGGGGTGGGGGGGTGGGGGGGGGTCTGTTCACTCAGCTTCAGCAGCATGTCGGGTCTTGGTCTCGGCCGCTCTCCTGGAACATCCTAGGCCTATCCTCCCCCTGCCAAATCTCCTGCCGATGGGTGGTGCCTCCGTGTGCCCATGTATTGGGGGGGGGGGGGGGGGGGGGCTCTTTTTGTGGCATCTGTGGGCTCACGCCCAGAGGCTGCCTGGTGGGGCCTGTGCTCTGTGGATCTGTTGGGCCTCCGCCGGGTTCTGGGTACTCAGTTCTCAGGCCACTGAGCTCCAGGCTGGATTAGCCCTTGTGCGAGTGGGGCCTGAAGGCTTGCCGTGGTGATCTCCTTGGCCTCTGGCATGGCTGCTGATTGGCCCCAAGTGTGACCCACTGCGCCTGCCAGGGCGCTCCTGCGTTGGTCTTCCTGGGGTTCCCATACTCCCGAGGGACCTCTAGATGTCTAGGGCTTGGCTCTCCTCCATGTTTTCTGTGTCTGTGGCCCCTCACACCCACTTTTAGACACTCCTATAAATCTTATATGCACAAGTGTGTGTACACACACACACACACACACACACACACACACACACACACACACACACACACACACACACACACACACACACACACAGTTCTCACAAGTAGGGACTCAGCTGCTTTTGACACATTACTGTAGGCTGTGGTTGGCAATAAATGCACAATTAATTATTTCTGTGTGCTTTTCAATAAACATTGTAACTTATTTGGTGTGTTCTTACTGTGTTTAGTTTCTAATTCCATTTTTGGTTCTTTTTAAAACACAGGAAAGGTTTTTCTTTACCTTGCTGGCGTACGTTTCGTTTGCCGACTGCAAAACATTCTCAGAATTTACGCTGATGGTGGCGTCACTTCCTACTCCGTCTATCCGTGGGCAGCAGAGGACGTTGTCGCCCTCTGCTGCCCGATCTCCCCTCTCCGATGATAGGAGAAACCAGACGCCAACTCAACACCGTGAACAATAGAACATAGAAAGGAGTGCGAGAAAGAAACAAGTCGAAAACACACAAGAGCAGCAAAACAAGAAGCAGAAAGCACAATAAAGAAGTCAGCCGTAGCAGATCACTTGTGCAGATCACTGCACAAGAGAAACAGGGACGATGGAGTTTACTCCTTGGACCGTGCATGGGACTGCATCATCGGAGAGGGGAGAGCGGGCAGCAGAGGGCGACAACGTCCTCTTCTGCCTGCGGATAAACGGAGTAGGAAGTGACGCCCCCATCAGCGTCTGCTCTGAGGATGTTTTGCAGTCGGCAAACAAAACGCGCGTCAGCAAGGTAAAGAAAAACCTTTCCTGTGTTTTAAAAAGAACCAAAAATGGAATTAGAAACATTGTTACTGTTATATATCCTTTTGCCGTTTGGTGATGTGATATCTTAGCTTTGTTGAGTTTCTGTGAGTCCCTTTTTTCTCTCTAGCCCTAATAAAGCTAAAATCAAGCAGGGCATTACAACTGTAACCCTCTGCCTCTCAGAGTAAAACTGTAAGGCTTGTTTTTGATTTGACATCTGTGATTGCTTTACAGCCAGACAGGACAGGGTAAAATAAAACAAAATGACAGGACATGGTCCTATCACCATGTCATTTAAAGAGCATGATCTAATTTTAGCTTTAATCCAAGGAAAATACTCAATTTTTCTCCTGCTGCTGCTCTAATGTGACCTTAAGTAAGGTGCCTCAAGTGCCTGACATCCAACATAAATCTCCAGGTATCACAACACGTAGCCTGCATGTTTTATTGTTTCCCAAGGCAATTTAATTAAGTTAATATTATGTTACCACACCATGAAGACCAAGTGGATCTGACATCAAAGATTTAGTACGAATACACTGTTCTTTCTCCACCCACAGAACGTGATTCTATGCATGTAGCTTTAATATTCTGCATCATGTAACCACTTTGACAAAAGCTGTGCGCTAATCTGACATAACCAGTAGATGGAATAATTGGTAACCAAAAACTAAGTTCAACAAAGGAGTCAATAAACAGTATGGGCAAAAAGTCAACTGATAAGAGGGGTTTTCGTTCAAAGTGTATTTTGAATATTCACAAGGTGAAACAGTTTACATCAAATAAGCAGTGATATTTACAAAAAACATTATAACCAATAGACCGTCCATCAGTTCCTTGAAGAGTTTCAGATGTCATCTGCATGAACAAGGGCTCGTTTCCTTGTGACATCAATCCAGGGTTCCATGGTTCAATTGGTTCATGGGTGGCTCGTCATCCAAGGAAAATTCAAGACAGTGAATGGGATAAACTGAATGTAAAGGGAAAAGGAAAAGAAGTCCATACAAAAACCTGACCTAAAACAAAAGCCAGAAAGGGAAATTATTAATTCTACTGTTTACATGTATACAAAATATCACAAATCATTCAGGTTCTCCACAGAATTTCCAGGAGGTCCACATTCACATTTCTCTTAATTACGTAATTATGTTTGTTTCACTCAATTTGATTAATTGCTCAGTTGAGCTTCCCCACACAGGAAACAAGTGCTTAGGTCAAATATCTTTGGACAGGAATTATGTGAAAACAATAAACCACATTCTGTCCAACATCTCAAGACACTAAAAATATTCCAAGCAACACTGGATCATGCAGCTAATCAGTGTAGATCAATGAATATGTTTACTCACCGATGAGTAGAAACACATATACATACTTTGGCCTCGGTTAGGCAAAAAGAGAGGATCTATGATGGTAAGTATAACATTAGAAAATAAAACAAGTAAATTGGCTCCATCGGTAACTGAGGAAAATGAAAGTGCAGCTTACCAACACTCCGGTAACTTTGGCAAAGTGCTACCCTTTAAAAATGGTACGGTTCAATTTCTTCCCCTCAGAACAGTGAATCAACTGCACCCTCAGGTAAGCTGAATTGAAGGTTTTAGCAAGCACTGGAGACTGGCAAAGACCAAACCCTGAAGCAACAGTGACTGAGGCCTTGTCCACACGTAGCGGGGGATCTGCCAAAACGTAGATATTTTTCTACGTTTTGGCCTGTCATCCACACGAAAACTGAGTTTTTTCACACGAAAACGGATCTTTTTAAAAACTCCGGCCAAAGTGAAGATCTGCGTTTTCTCTGTTTTGGGTGTCTGCGTGTGGGCAGGCGAAACCGGAGTTTTAAGGTCCGCAACGTCACTTTCCGCAACACAAAAATGCTGACATCACGTGTTCGACCTGTGTTTACACTAGCCGACAGCATGGATGCCCTCAGAGCTGCGCTCGCTTGATCAATTGTCCAAGCGCTTTTTGCTTGTTTGTTTTTGCAAGCGGAATTACTGCTCCTTGCGGAAGACCACAGACGAATGACGAGGTTAAGAACGGGGGAAGTACTGCCGCCTACAGGTCTGGCATGTCCTTAACAACGTATTTATCCAGGTACGTGTGGACAGAGTTTTTTTTAAATGAGGTGGTGTGGATGCAAGTTTTTGGAGGGGCGTATATTCGTTTTTAAAACCACCCGGCTACGTGTGGACTAGGCCTGAGTGATCCAGCACTCCACCTGGAGCAACAACAGCTGGCTCATTAGCAGGTCAGGATTCCTCTTAAAGGGGAAAGTCCACTAACTGGGGAGCTCCCTCCAGGTGCGTCAATCACATGGGTTACAATCACATAAATTTTAAAACTGGTCAAGGAGGGATTTTAAACGTTTACAATGGATAAAAACAAGACGTACAGTGTCAAATGTTAATTTAAGGAATTGGTTAATTTAATTGTTTCAGTAAAAACATTTATTTTAAAAATGAATCTATGCACACAAGTAAAAAGTATTAAAAATCTGTGTAAAAGGCTGAATTAAATGTTAGTTATTGAGTTCTACTCTGACAGGAATTAGCACATTCTCAAGTTTGACTGGTAAAGCTATATAGCATGTGATTCTATGCCAGTCAAATGGCTCTAACAGAACCGGTATTTTAAAACAGGAAAACAGAACATTTTATTATATTTTATTCCAGTATGTATGGTATTGTCACACCCTGTCCTGTCTCCCCATTCTGTGCAGCCCTGTGTCTCCTGATTACTCCCACCTGCCTCTCGTTTTCCAATCACCCAAGCTCCCAGCCCTCATGTATTTAAACCCTCTCAGTTCTGTGTGTCTTGTTGGTTCATTGTTTCCATGTCCTGCGTGAGTTTATCATTAAAGACTTTTTACATGTTCCAGTTTGACTGACTGCCTGCCTGCTTCCTCCCCAGCATTTGGATCCTCACAACCGCTCAACTCTCCTGCACTGTGACAGAATGAACCGAACACCCGAAGGATCCAGCAGGGAAGTTTTCCGCTGGGAGTACCTGCTCCGATGGTTCACCCCGAGCCACCAGCTGGCTTCTCCTCCTCCAACGCTGCCACGCCGCCATCGAGTCTCGGCGATCCTCTTCACCCTCCCGGAGCCAGATGAGAGGTTGGACTGGGAGACGCAGCCGGACCGATCCTGCTATGTGGGCACCAGACTGGCTGTGCTCCCCCGGCGTTGGTCCACGGTGCCGGGAAGGAACCTGGGCTCCACCAACACCTCCAGCCCCGGAGCGGCCACGCAGGCTCGCCGCCACCCTGGCTCGGTGCGCAGCTTGGACCCGCCCCCAGTCAGGTCAGCGGCCACGCCTCCTGTCCAGTCAGCACCTCCTTCATCTGCAGGTGGAGGGACCAAGCCTGCAGCCTATCAGACGGAGCTCGCCAGCCTCCAAGCGAAGCTTGGCCAGCTCTGTCAACTCATCAGCCTCCAGGAGTTCCAGCTGGACACCCTATCCCCCCTGTATCTCCAGGAGAGGGTTTCTGTCCAGCCAGCGGCCCCATCTCCGGTCCAGTCAGCAGCTCCCTTGTCTCCAGGCCAAGGGACCGAGCCGGCAGCCCATCCAACAGAGCTCTCTGGTCTCCGAGCTGAGCTGGTCCGGCTCAGTCAGATCCACAGCCTCCAGGAGTTCCAGCTGGACACCCTAACCTCCCTGATTTTCCAGGAGACGTCACTAGTCCAGTCAGCCGTACCATCTGCCTGCAGTGGATTCACCTCCACTCAGGTCGACAGCCCCTCCTGCAGCAGCTCCGGCGCCTCCCCCTGCAGCGGATTCGCCTCCACTCAGGTTGACACCCGGTCCAGCGCCTCCAGTCCTGTCTGCGCCTCCAGCCAAGTCGCCGCCTCCAGTCAAGATGACACTTGGTCCGGTGCTTCCAGTCCTTTCTGCGCCTGGTCCAGCGCCTCCAGCCAAGTCGACTCCTCCAGCCATGTCGGCGCCCGGTCCGGCACCTCCAGTCCTTTCAGCAACCAGTCCGGCGCCTCCAGCCAAGTCGATGCCTCCAGCCCTGTCAGCGCCCGGTCCAGCGCCTCCAGCCAGGTCAGCACCTCCACTCCAGTCGGGGCAAGGTCCGGCTCCTCCCGTCAAGTCTGCGCCCCCCTTCAAGTCTGTGCTTCCACTCCATTCAACTCCTCCGCTCCAGCCGGCTCCACTCTGGTCAACTCCTCCGCTCCAGCTGGCTCCGCTCCAGTCAACTCCTCCACTCCGGTCGCCACCTCCTGCCAAGTCGGTGGCTCCCCCTGCAGCGGCTCCACCTCCAGTCACCGTTGGCCCTGCCCTTGCCAGACGCCGGCCCCCAGAGCCTGTCGCCGTCTCCTCCTCTGTCCCAGACGCAGGCCTCCTAGACACTGTCTAGACCTGCATTGGGCGTCCGGTGCCACCCTTTGGGGTGGGGGTGGGGGGGTGGGTACTGTCACACCCTGTCCTGTCTCCCCATTCTGTGCAGTCCTGTGTCTCCTGATTGCTCCCACCTGCCTCTTGTTTTCCACCCAAGCTCCCAGTCCTCATGTATTTAAACCCTCTCAGTTCTGTGTGTCTTGTCGGTTCACGGTTTCCATGTCCTGCGTGCGTTTATCATTAAAGACTTTTTACATGTTCCAGTTTGTCTGCCTGCCTGCTTCCTCCCCAGCATTTGGATCCTCACAACTGCTCAACACTCCTGCACCGTGACAGGTATATAGAAGATGTGTACATAAAACTCCAAACCTAGAGAAGTTGGAGTGTATTGAGACTTGTTTCTAATTGGATTCACGCTTTGGAGCATCTTGAAGCCAAACAAGAACATCCCTTTCTATTTGCATCAGTTACTTAGGATGAGACTTATAATTCCTTTTATTCTGAACAAAAGCTTCAAATGAGCAAAACATTTTCTTTTTTTATATATTTTAACCTTGAAGCAAATAATTCACCCGCAAAAGCAGTTTTCAGTAAAACCTTTCAAAAGGAGTAATATGTGGTTGTTTTCCTTTTCTTTCAGCACAACAACCACGGGGAGAACCAGTGAAGCTTGAGGACTCCCCACAGTCAGTCAGCACCCTCACTCAGCACCACAAATCTGAACTCCATGGGTTTTACAAGCCCTTTATGCCTCAGTTTAAATTAATCAAGCATTACACTCGCCTTCGCAAAATGCAAATGCAGCGTTACAATATGATTAACTATTTTTCCTTTCATTTTTCTTAAGACTCCTCCTGTGGAGTCGGGCCAGTTGTGTTTTGCCTCTCCATCGTGTCAGCAAGGGAAAAAGAACATTTGTAGTTTTTCTTTTTTCTGACTGACTGGAGCATCCTTGTGCAGCACAGCAAGCTGCTCTAGAGGATACATACAAGGGAAATTGACAAAGGGGCAATGCAAACTGCTTGATATGCTAATCATTGCTTCTGAGTTTATTCAGTGTTTACTTATTGAATTCATTGATGTAAATAGATACATAGAAATTAAACCTGAAATACCTATTTGTGCCTATTGTATCCTAATCTGTCTGAATTGACACACTGGGCTGTCAAGTTACAACAATATTAGCAATCAATTGGTGGTGATTTACAACTATTAAAGTGCTTATTAAATAACTATTGTATGTGGGAAATATTTTTAATCTGTACATTTAGACCTACCATCATATGAAATGAAATAAAAAACAGACAAGAATTATGCTATTAGACAAATCAGGTTAACTTGTTATTAATTTTATTTACTTACACATAAATACTTCTGTCTACAGATTTGGCTACTAAATACTATTTTGGAATAAAGGCCTATTATTACTTCTGTTATGATTTGTAACACTCAAAGTAAGTGTGGTGTAACGTGAGGAAATATGGGTTTTCTGTGCCAAAGGTTTCATTTGACTCGGCTGGGTCAAAGCTGGGTCGCTGAGAACTTTAACCCACAGATTGAGACCTTTGCCGACATGAAGTCTGCAAGAGTCTGCTGCAAACCATAACATCTGCCACCTGCAGTGCCAGAAGATGTTGTTCTCATGGAAGCTAGTCATAACATAACAAAGTCTTAAACTTCCTTTTCTTTATGTTAAATGTTGAATAATCATTATCATTTTGCTCATTATAAATGTGTTTTAATCAAATGAGTGATTATTATGCTTTGGGTAATCATAATAACTAATGAATCAATGCTTAATTTAATAATGTTTGAAGATGTTATAATGACCTTCACACACACTCTCTCACAGTAAACTCCAAAACACATTTGCTCTGACGCACAAGTTTTGCTTTGAGAAGAGAAAGGCATTTGGTAAGTTTTCAGTTCATGATTCAGTTCGTGTTGACAACGAAAGAGAGAGGACGTGTGAACAATGTCAATGGGGAACGGGGCTGCGGCTCCTTCCCCCCCCCCACGCTGTTACTGCCAAGCCAGACAGGATAGCTGAATTACAACCGCTAACGCGGACTCGTCCCGAGTCTTTTGATTTCTGAGTAATTAAACTTAAGAAAGCGCATCTGCAAACGCTTTATCATCAACGTGTACTGAGGGCAACTCTGGACCGGGTCGCAGCACACCTTTGTCTTCTCTGCCAGCCAAGGTGTCATCTGGATGAAACATCCTCCTCCTTTGACGTCCCGGATCTAAGAGAGGGTCCGAATACGGTGAGGCAGTCCACGACAGATAGCGTTTGATGCATCTTTTCCAATAAGACCTACGTTTATTCAAACCATCACTTTTCACTCAGACACCTGTTTCTTCCTGAAGCAAAATCAGACGCACACACGCATTCATCTCACCTCATTCTCAATTTTCACACATTCAACACAAGGTCTATTTGAGCAAGTTTAAAATATCAACTGTTAAAGATTGTTCAACAAAGTTGCCAATGTTGATTGTTATTTCCTATGTTTGTCATTTCAAAATCATTAGTTTAATTTGAAGAATTAAAACTTCTAACTTTCAAACTTGTCTCATCATTGAACTGAAACACAGACCCACGGATATTATCGTCAGTTTATCGATGAAAACAACCTTTGAGTCTTCTTAATTCTATAAAATGTGGTTATTAATTTATTAAAATTAGTATCTCAAATTAATATGTAGAATAGTTCCTCTTTCATAAAAGAGCATAAATCATTACACTACATAATTGGCAGAGCCTAGCCAGGTTCTCTACAGTGGTGTTTACATAACAGCTTTATCATTTATGAAGGCTTAGCCATTTTTGTGCTGCTAACACAAATTAGTTGTGACATCCATCTTCCATTGGGTTGAATTCAATTGTTAAAGCACCAATGGCAATTTTGGAAAACAAGTTAGCTAAAAATATTTTTTCGTGCCTTTTAACAATGTTCTAACATAGCTTCGTCTTTCATCTTCGTCTTCCTCTGCTTATCCGGGTCCGGGTCGCGGGGGAAGCATCCCAAACACCGTTTGAATTCACGGACAACCAAAGATGTTTCGAACTAGAAAATGGTGACGGGTGTTTAGCACTATTTCGTTTCCTCCGGCATTGTGGGTTTCCGGTTCCGGCGGAAACTTCTTGATACCCGAGGGGAAGTGTGCGTGTTCTGTGATCAAGGTTGCGTTCAAAAACTTGCTTGTTTGCAGATTCGCTATAACAGCTTTAACCATTTGTAGCTGTACAACCAAAGAACAATTACTGAGAGTGTCATTGTGTTCCATTGTTTAATACATGATGCAAGGTCTTTTGTGTGGACGCATTCATCCAAAGCAACGTACAGATCAAACTAAAACTGAACAGAAGTTCCCAGAGATAAGCCTCACGGAAGACAGACTGACCAATATTGTTTTTTTTTCTATTTCTGATACCAACACATAGAGGTCATGGTCAGCTGATGGCTGATTTGTGCTGTTGATTTTTTGGGCCGATTGTCAAAGTCAATATCTAGAGGTTTTCCACTTTTTTCGCAAGCTAAGATGTCACTAATATTATCAGTCGATACACAAAAAGTCTAAAACTGAATTCGTTTTGAACTCTGAATTTAACCACTTTTGTGCACTGCTCAGTGTTAAAATCAAAAATCTAATTAAAGTTAATCAAACACATAAATTAAGGTATACTTAGCAGCTTTTGTGCCAGTGTGTGCTAAAATGGCCCTTTACAGGGTTAATGAAATGCCACAGCCCCCATCACTCCCAGAATATTCCGCTTGAAACTTTAGCCTGGCAGGCCGCTCTGTTGGGGGCTAGAACTAATTTAGCTGACTTACCTGGTGCTGCAGTCTGCTTCTGTCACTTTTCCTGCATATTTTAGATGATGAACACAGCTGATTTGTTTAATTTAGCGATAAAACTCTCTTGTAAACACCAAAGAAGGCTGGGGAGACATTTTAGCTGTTAGATTAAAGTGTTAAAAAGACGAGTGCACAGCGAGAAGCTGGGTTTTGCTATAGGTTCTACAAACCAGCACTAGGGGGTGCTAAAAGCACCAATAGACCCAAAGCATACATTTAGCAGAACCACAGGACATTGTGTCCCTAGAAAATGTCTAAGATGCGCTGCTCTGAGAAAACACCCATGTATAACGGTATAATGGTGGCTAATGGCTGCATATTTGCTTCGTAGACATCCTGCGACGCTTTTGAATTCAGTGAAAATCCAGGGTCATGTAGATTCCGATTGTTAATGACTAAATCTGGGGCGATGGTGACACAAGACTTACATGCTTGCCCCGTAATCGGAAGGTTGCAGATTTGAGCCCCGCTCAGTCTATCGCTGTCTTTGGGCAAGACACTTAACCCACCTTGCCTGCTGGTAGTGGAGGGACCGGTGGTGCCAGTGCTCGGCAGCCTCGCCTCTGTCAGTGCGCCCCAGGGCAGCTGTGGCTACATCGTGGCTCCTCCCCACCAAGGTGTGAATGTGTGTGTGAATGGGTGAAAGACTGATTATGATGTAAAGTGCCTTGGGGGATTCCAGGACTCTAGAAGGTGCTATATCAAATACAGGCCATTTACCATTTTAAATTCCAAATAAAATTCTTGTGAAATCAGCTATTAACACAACAAATCATGGCTGAATATCTGTAAAACCGTGTTGGCAAATGCCGATCAGCTGTGGCAACCATCATATTCAATGGCATTCACTTCAAAGGCATTTGTAGAGGAGCATTTTTCAGCTGGTTTCTGAGTTTCGTTAGATACTGTCCAGCTGTGAATGAGACATTTTCCTACTACACAAACAAAACAACCTGAGGACACGCAAAGACACACACAAATCAGCAAAGACATCATCGCCCACCCTTTTCTTTTCGTGCTATGCGATGACTAACGGGTGTGTAAATCAGACAACAGTCAACCACTTTCAACCTCCACTGTTAAGAGCCTCTTCTCAATATACATGACACCAGCGTGTACCTAAATAAATCCAAGCAGACAGAGCTGCAGAAAACAAACGCCTCAGATACAACTACCACAAATTGAGGTGCAAGAAATGTCTACATCAGTGACTGTGGCTATGACAGCTTTTTCTGTTGGCGGTGGCATGGCAGAAGTTGTCCCCAGGGTATATGAAATTGGTGGTTTAAGTGGTGCACCAAATGATGGAACAATAGCAAGGAGGAGCAGTTGTTTGGAGTTCACCTACAAGCTTCAGAAAGAGCTGATTGGCCAGACTTAGCAGATTGGCACTATGTGGCATAACAAGCGTGGATCCCTTGGTATCCCAATCCAGAGTCAGGTTGGATGATGTGCTTGGTCAGGCATAGTTTTCACATATGCCAGGGTAAACTGGGAAACTGCTTTCCAATCCAAAACACTGTGGCTCCAGATGATCAATATGTATGAAACAAAGGAGCCAGATGGCGAGCGGTTTATTATTTTAACTTGGCTCTAAATGATGAGGAATCCAAATGGAGATTTTGTTGGTAAAGTCTGCAGAACTCAAAGAGACATAATCCTACTAGAAACTTATTTCACACGTATCTGGATATATTGGCAGTTCACCATTTAGACTGTATCTCTTTTCAAAGCTTCTCTTTTATCCGTTCATCCTGTCTAATCTGTTCTCTGGGTGCTTTTTTGCATGTGTGGCACCCTTAACAAGAAGAAGAAGAAGAAGAAGAAGAAGAAGAAGAAGAAGAAG